AACTTTAAACTAGTGTGTGTGTGCGTGCGTGTGTGTGTGTGTGTGTGTGTGTGTGTGTGTGTGTTATTTATGTCGAACAGATAATAAATAAATTCGTGGCATTTACATGGATAAGATTTTAGGCATCATTTATTTCTTTTTACAATTTTTGTATATATTAAATAAATTCAAGAAATTATTTCTTGATTTTCGTTATCGATTACATGTCATTTATTTATGGACACCAAAACTATAACAATCGATAGTTATGTCTTTATCTCCACTAATACATTAATAATAATAAATCTTCACGAGAAATTTTTATTGCGAAAAATATCAGCTAGGAAAATCGAACCAGGACCACTTGTTTTCTAGCGAATCTTAAGAGGTAGATTTTCTTTTTAAAATGTTCAAAATATCATCTTGATTCAGATTTTTAAATTCTTTTGATTGTATTAATTATTTTAAGAACTTCACTTCTACTGAAAGATTGGCAAATTTATCGAATTCTTTCCTTCATATCATCCTTTGATTTTGATAAATAAAATTTGTTATTTTTTCCATAAAAAATAGTCTATCGATGTTAAGTCTAATGAGCGTAGTAAGAAAAATTTTCATTTAAATTCCCTGTAAATTTTAATATCTTGAAAAATAGATGATTTATAATCTGTGACATTTTTTTATTTTTCTCCTAAACAATAAATAATATAAAAAAAGTTTAAGCAAAAATTTATTTTTAAAAGAGATATCCAACATTATTCTCAATCTATATCCCTATTTAAAATTTTAAACTTAATTAAAGGTTTACCGTACTTGTGATAGTTTCCAGAAAACCAAATCACTAGATAGTTTAGATAGTTTTGGTGATGAAAATTATTTTCCCAATTTTCGACTATTACCCATTCCCAAGAATTATTCAAGAAAAAAGAATGATATAGATGATCTAATATATTTTATATATTAATTATTATTTTCAAATTATATAATACACATATATTATCTGTATCTTTTATGAAATATGATTTTTAATGAAACATATATGTATTAAAACATTACATATATGTATTAAAATGTGATATCAGCTTTTGAAATTTGAAACAAACTTAGTATAGTATAATGCTTCAATCATTTTCATTAAAAAATTAGTAATAATAATAATTGATGCACATTTAAAAATTTATTAATTAATATACAAATAAACAATATATACAAATTTCAATAATTTTATCTTGTTAATTAACAAGAATGAGACATAAAAAATAAAGTTTAATAAATATTTCTGTTTTAAAAATGATAATTCCATTGAAGCATTGGCACTTTAAATTAATTGTATTTACAATAGAAAAAATAGCCTTCTGTATTCTGTGTTCTGTAAGCAGAACAATAATAATTATTTATCAAAATATTATATAACATTGTTTTATTTATTCATAATTATTATTCTTCACAATTTTTTAAAAAGTATTTTTGTCAAAAAGAAATGAGTATATTCTTGAATACTGAATATTTGAAAATTATTTCTCAATTTTAAATTTGAATATTCAGATTAAACAATACCTACTAAATATATGTTTCTCTTTCAGAACTTTATTTACGAATTTTATTCAAAACAAATGTTTGAATATTTTTTGTTGTAAATTAATGATTAAACTATAAATTCCATTATAAATTTCCGTCAATCATCGGACGGCGGTCCATAAAAAATTAATTCAGGGATTTGTCCACCTTGAACTCCAGTACCATTGGTACTTTCAGAACTACACTGAAATTGAAAGTTTACACTGCCAACTGTCGCTTCCGACATACCTTCTTGACCAAAAAAACTCAGCTCCCCACCATCCAATATTGCACTTGCTGTATACGAACACTCTGGTTCGATTTGAATCGGATTCTCGAAATATACATGAAACGTATTACTCGAACCATCAGAAAAGAACTTAGTATTATTCTCCGCTAGAATATTTCCAAGCCTCTTAAGTTCTATTTTGACATTATAATCCGCAGCACCAGACGAGCTTCCATATAATCCAAAACCCACCACGAATATTCTTTTATCGACACTGAATTGAATTGAATCACAACGACCTCTATATCGCCATTGATTTGACCTATACGCACAGGACTGAAATCTATGACAAACCTGAAAATAAATTTTTTTTAATAATAATAAACAAAATTAAATTAAAATTATATAATATTATATGATATTTATTGATATCTGTATTATATACTATATATCAATCTATTTATACTATAATTATCAATCAGAAATAAATACTGTAGATATTTATTTGAAACTTCTTTATGAAAGCTTATTACTTTCTACATAATAATATGATTTTTATTTACCTGAGTTTTTAATCCTTGACGCGATTTGGTAGGAAAACAAAGTTGTGGCTTGTTGCTGGCTGTAAAATATAGAAACAAGTCAATTGTTTCTTGATGTGTTAGGATTCCTGTCTGTGCTGCGCTGTTTGCGAATTCTTCTAGATTCATAGCAGGAAGTCTAATTAAATACAAAGCAGATCCTAAAAAAGAAAAAATATATATATATATATTATAAATGCACATGTAAATATGAGTACGTGTGCATACACATACATATACACATATGTGTGCATGTACGTATATATAGAGTGTATAAACATTTATTTTGAAGAAAAAAATAACGTTAACATTTATCTTACCTAACAATTGCCTTTGATTAGCTGAAGTAGGCTCAAAATCTTGCCGTATGCATTCTGCAGAAGCCCATCGTAATGCAGCATTCCATATGTGTATTTCTTTGCAATTTAACGTCTCTCGAGATAAGACAGACTCGAGCGTATGGATATCAATATCCACAAAACCATCAGATCTTAATGCCATTTCTGCCTGCCATACAAAGTTTTTATTTAATATGAAATTCAAAATCTCTTATATTAATTATTATTATTAATATCATTATTTCAGTGATATTATAATGTATATATATCATGGATCTGAAATTTATTCTACAAGTACATAATCTATGAATTTTCAATAATGAAAATTATTTACGTATTTAAATAAAATTTCCATAATAACGTTAGAAATTTATATATAATATATAATCATATATCTCATATATAATTTTGCTTTGTGTATACGTGCATGCGCGCGCGCGCGCGCGCGCGTGTGTGTGTGTGTGTGTGTGTGTGTGTGAGAGAGAAAGTTGCATGAATTTCATATTTCAAATATATCCTTTTTTCCATCTTTATCATTGTATATTATACCATATCTGATGCGCAAAGTTTAGCAGCTACAACTGATGAATTTTAATCAATTAATTTAATTTAATTTAATTTGAAAAATAGCCTCGACATTTTTGTATTAGGATTTAAAACTACCTCAAAAACACATCCTTAAAAAAAATGCGGTAATGACATCTTATATGTGCGTGTGCGTGTGCGTGTGCGCGCGCGCGTGTATGTGTGTGTGTGTGTGTGTGTGTGTGTGGTAAGATAAAGTGAGGCTTTTTCATTTACGGTGATATGATAATATGATAATGATAATATTTATGTTTCTGTGAACAGTACATATTCGATATTTGAAAATCATGTTTACGCATTCAAGAAACAATTGTGTTTGTATAATATAATTGTAAGCACATCATTCCAAAGACGCACATTATTTTTCTGCATATTTTTATATCACTTTAAAATTAAAACTGACGAAATAGCTTTACGAAATACTCTCTGCAAGCGTGCACACGCGTACGTGCGTGCACGTGTGTATTTGTGTGTAAAATAAGGTATGTGCGCGTTGCGTGTATGTATACTATTAGATTTGCATATTTTTATTGAAATCATTCTCTTTTTCGCATTGAAGTTCGTAGTTGGTCGACAAAAAAATTATAGTTGGAGAAAATAATGAAGACTATTTTGATAATTAAATTTATATTTCATTTATAAAATTGGAATTTAAAATGTATTTAAATAAAAACCGAGTTAATTTTCACATCTAATTGATATTCAGAAATATTAAAGGGTTCGAACACTTTTCATACAAGACATACACTTTCCTATACACGCATACATACACACACACACACACACACACGCGCGCGCGCGCTCGCACACATACATACAACTGATAAGCATTAATGTGTATATTACACACACGCGTGCGCGGCCGCGCGGAATCATGGTGTAACTGATGATATAAGAGGGAAGGAGATGATTCTATTTTCATAAAATACTGAACCTAAAATGTAGAGTAAAATTTTTTCATACGAGGCTTTGCTTCCGAGAAAAATGGTGTTGAAAATTTCTCTGAATAACTTATCATGATGTCGGCGATTAGGATATTTGTCTTTGTAATAATTAGTTGCGACAGAAGTCGCCACATGCATCTAACGCAACAATCATATCTGCATACTCGCGATTTTGTATGTCATATTGGCATTATGATAGAAATTAAGAGTTCGATTCGACAAGCATAAAAGTAAGAACAATATAAAAAAACAACACTATATCGACTATATTTATGAACCATCACTACTTGATCAAGTGCATGCATGGTAAATTTTCAAAGCCATTTTTCTCGGAAACAAAGCCTCGTATGAAAAAATTTTATTTTACCTTTTCGATTCAGTATTTCATGTAGAATCTCCTTTCTGCTTGTAACCACCAGTTATATGATTCTATATGCTA